CAACTACGTTATTTAACTCTTACGTGTGTTTTTGATCTCACACCTCTAATCAATTTGAAACATTCCTGTGTAACTGAATAATACTCGCCAATTATGTTGATACCTCGCTCTTAAAACTGCAGTCCCTTGGTGGTAACATCTATGTGATAATAACACAACGCTTAATCAATGTAATAAGAAGATCATTTGATGCAACAGAATTCCATTGTCTCTTCACAACCACTCGAATTTTCCGTTCGGGAGTTATGGATAAACCATCTAATTTCGCCTCCTCTGAATGTATCTATCACAGTTTGACTGCTCCTGTGAAGTCACTTACATTGGGTGTACAGTCAGGCATCTTTACCATTGGATTTGACAAGATCATGCTGCGTGATCATGCAAGGAAGTGATAACGTCTCTTAGTAGTCCCGTCCAAACTCATCTTGTAGACACTGAACACGAAATCGAAGTTAGTCCACCTTTTAAAGTTATCTACGGTATTCCGACTGATTTCAATTTCACTTTATGAGGTTGCCTTTTGCATACATCAGAATGCACATCTAGTAGTGTAACTTATGTGTTCGACAGAAATTCATTCAGAAACTTTTCCTACCTTAATCATAATTACTTTAGTTAGCCTTGATTGTGGCACAAATCTTCTTAATTTGATCTTATATCTATCTTATCTTTATATTGTTATGCGTATTACTTTTGAACTGTAATTCCACTCATCACATCAACTCGATATCATTTTTTTTCTGAAACATAAATATTTTCAGTACCTATTATTCTTCAAATATTACGTGTTTACATAACTGTAAAGCCAGATGGTGAGGTTGTTGAAAGGAATATTTTTAGCCTTATAAACACATTTTGTGCAAACGACCCTCGAAGTTAACTGGATTTGCTATGCAAGACTTTGTCACTTCACACGTACTGTGAACAACGGGGTGACTCATAACGCAGAGGCTTTAACATGTGTATTGATCAGTTTGAAACTACAAATAATAAATTACTTGTGAATATTATTGTAGTAGTACATGAGACGGGAGTAATGATGGTATTTGACAGTCAGTTTAAGCTGACAAAAATACTACGATATTTCATCTCCAATCAAGCTCAATCAAAGAACCAGTGATACGCGAGCAGAACTGGAAATCTGTTTCCTTCAGGTTTGAAAATCTTCAGGAGAGCAGACCGGCAACCGTGCCAGTGACAGAAGCCAGGACCTTCAGGTAATGGGGACAGCGCTGTGACCATTCAGCCACCGGGTTTTCTGATGTCAATTCGTGACGAGGCCTTCATTTAAACTAGTCGAAATTCTTACTGATCTGAAGTCATGATATCCGTTAAATGTAACAGTAGTCTGTATATTATTTGGTCGTAATTTACGATTTCTGAAATATACTTATCCCTGGAACTACGTTTCTACAAATATCACATTATGCATGAGAAGGTTGTCCAACGGCAAACTTGTAACTTCGAAGCCACAGCTTATATCACACAACTGAATACAACGAAGTCGATTGTGTATACGTAGCGTTTAAAACGGTTCTAGAGACTCAAAATGTCTTCATTATGAGTCATGTTCATTTTATAGAGTTTGGATTATAGGGCGATTGGCTTTTTGAAAGATTGAAGAGTGGCTTCTTCAGGTGGATTCTGATTGCTTCAGCTGTCTGTAGAAGACGAACTCATAGAGCAAAATTAAGATTAGTCGGAATGCGATAAATAATTTTAAATGCAGTATTAACATCAACCTTATGCTCAGTATCAACAAGGTGTGCTAAAGTATAACAACGAATAGATCTTGTTTGTCCCTTGCTTAACCATGTTGGATGATGTTCGGAAATACGACGATGAACCTGCCTAATTTTACGCCCAATTTACAGACAGCTGAAGCAATCGGAATCCACCTGAAGAAGCCAAGCCTATGTGTTCAGAAGAAATTTGTACAGCCACTTTCCTTACCGTGGCCATCGTTATAAGAATGCATAAACAGGACTACGTCGCCCCCCTCCCCCTAAACCTTTAAAAACTATAAAAATTATAATTGTCCAAATTATTTTTATTTATTTTGACCACTTCATCTTTAATTACATGTTACCCTTGTAAAATTAATTTGTTCTAACCATTTCTACCTTTTAAATGTATATTGATTTTCGTCCTTAATAATCAACCCATTGACATTTTGACACTTTAATTATTGTTAACAAACATATCGCCACTTTTTTGGTAAACTGTTGTGTATTGTAATGAAAATGCTATATATATTAGAGTAGAGCCAGAGATGAGGATCTAATTGAAAAGTAAATATTTCTTCGCTCAATCTTCCTGTTTTCTAAATAATATGTATTCATATGTAATATTAAACACTATTCCGAACAATAATGATCATACACAATGGAAACTTTTCAGCATTATGCATTCAGATGAAGGAGAGATGAAAATATCCAGTTACCAGGGCAAAGAAAGACTGATAACTGTTTCTTTCTGAACGCACAAATCAGGTTTCAGGCGCTTGATGGAAATGGCTTCAACACACTTAAGGAGAATTGAGCTCTTTTGCCTATTGATAATTTTGAACGATTTTGCGACGTCCACCTCATGACCCGTTTTAAGGAGATGCCTAGCGATGGCACTGTTTAAAGCATTTGTTCCCTTTAGACATAAGCTTTTTGATACATGTTCAGAAAATCGTAGATATGCCCTTCTTTCTGTTCTTCCAATGTAACTGATCCCACAGATTGAAATGGAAGCGCTTTCTCTTGGATTTAGCTTTCATATCCCAAATATTTTTTGAAAGAACCGATGTCGCAGTTCAATTCGAAAAATCATTCTATCAGCTGAATAACCTTACTCCATTTGATGATGACAAGAAGAGCGAGTTCAAATCTAAGCTCGTCGACGTTGCAAACCAATACCTCATTTCTCCAACGTCATATTCCAAAGTCCTCTCTAAAGAGCATCAAAGACCATTGGAAGCTCTCAAGTATAATGCCAAAATTGTTATACTGCGACCTGACAAAGGCTCAGGAGTGGTGCTAAATACGTAATGCCGAAAAGTTTCCATTGTGTATGATCATTATTCTTCGGAATAGTGTTTAATATTACATATAAATACATATATTATTACTGTATGCATATATTTATTGATTTTTGTTTAAAATGAACTCTGTGCAAGTATGTTAAAATTGTTTTTGTAGATATATTTAATAATGACTTTGGTCTGTAAGCAGCTGATGAGAAGGCAACGAAATAAATTATGGCACCACTTTATTCTGCAAAAACTGTAGTTCTTGCCTTGTTCAGATTTTGAGACACTTCACAAAGTCTGCAACTTCTATTTCTTCACTTCCGCGTGACCAGATTTGGATAATTTATTTTTATCAATATGGATCAGACCAACCGTTAAGGTCTTCATAAATCTGTGGCATGTTTTTGTATAACCACTCCTAACAATTTTCTGTCCTAATCATTAACTTTCAACGGAGAGACTAGTTTGCGATGAGTATCTCGAGGTCTAACAAGTTCAAACGACAGGACTTCACAAGACCCCTACTTACTTAATACTCTGCACCTAATCTTTCTATTAAAGTGTGTGCTACTTACAAGATTTGTGAGTAGTATACAGATACAAACGTAAATATGTATGTCATCTGAAAGAATAACGAATAACGGAGACGGATCTAATGGTGAAGAGAAGAAATAAACGAGACTTGTGAAACAACATGGAAAACATGAACGCAAGACGAAGAAGAAGAATACGGAATACGGAAGCAGTACAATACTGAAAATATGTGCGAATTGTGAATCTAACATTTCGTAGAATTATTTTGCCTATATGAGTACGTCGAGTTGGTGACAAGAAATACGGCTGCCACGTACTCTTGTGTTCTGGAGTTCCACTGTTACGAAGTATATTGTACCCTCCGACATAACTAACTGAACTTTATTGATTTTTGGTTTAAACAATATGGGGAGGTGTAGGTTGCCCTCGGTAAACTATGAATCAGTATTTGAAGAATCGTTGTGAAATGGTTAAAAGTGGCTTACGACTGGCGGATATGTATTCACTGGATGCCATTCTTCAGATTCTTGTAATTTTCAATAATCCTGCTGTAAATATTCTTCATCCCAAACATCTTAGTTTCATTACATTCCTCCACCCTACTTTTGTGTGGTATTCCTGAAATTTCTAGCGTGCCACACCATAGGATTAAGGTGGTGTATTCTATAGACAGAATGGTAAAGCCTGGTTTTCTATCGATTTTGTGCTCTATATCCACTAGATGTGCCATTATGAAACTCCTGATTGACCTAACGATTCCTTTTCCTATAAACGTAGGAAATCTCTCAAGATGGCGATGATGGATCTCCCAAGTCTTTCTACCTACGTCAATACCATTAAAAGAGCACCCAAATTGATAAATATATACTCAGTAGCTTATCCTTCACCTGTATTGGAATTGTACGAGTAGTGAATATTAAAAATAGTGATGAGCACCACAATGTAACAGAAATTCAGTATTGACCATTCTAATAATTCAAGATACCACCTTATTTCCCTAACTCCATCAACAACACCATCAGCAAACTCAGTTGCATAACGCCGAATTCTTTCCACCCATGAGCACAGCTGAGCGAGCATTCATAAGAAATTTGAGTTCGCAAAAGCTTAGTCAAGTCTTTCTTCCTCTCTTGGCATTCGACACCCACCGTGAATAGTTTTCTATCACGGTAAAACCCGACAATTGCTAACACAATATTTATTCGTGATGTTATGTTTATAATCATTATAACAGTGACATATAACTGCATTTATTACTCCTGGTAACATAATTCACTTGAATAGAAGCTAAGACAACGTTAACTAGTCACCATGAGAATTCAGCAATTTTTCCACGAAAAGGATTCCCACAGAAGACATCTTTCAAAAATATCGAAGCTGTAAACAGCCCTAATCACATAGCATCCAATCAGGAATGTAATTCTGGCCATAAGTTTGTGCTTGATATCTTGGAATTTACTTGTCAAACTACGAACATACCACAATCAGAAACGGTTAACAGTTAAGCGAAGGCAAGTCGAACAAAATGTCGAAAAAATTAGACAAAGTCTGTCGAATTTGCCAACGTCAGTTTCAAGCACCATTTGTAACGAAAGCTTGTCATATTTATCTGAGCAGATCAAGTCAGGGAGTTTAGAACCCGCTGATGTACTACATGCTTTTCAGCTCAAAGCGTTGGAGTTGTACGATAACGGAAATTCAGGTATTTGTGAATTCATTTTGGAGGCAGAAGAGAATGCTGTTAACATGATATCGTCATCGGACATCGATAAAGAATCACAGCTGTATGGGATACCAATTAGCATAAAAGAGAGTTTTACATTGGGTGGTTATGATAGTACTGTGGGTGTCATCAAACTCTGTAATAAACCTATGAGCGATGACTGTGTTCTCGTGAAAGTACTCAAGAGTGTCGGTTCAATCCCCTTCGTAACTACTGTGACCAGTCAGTTATGTCGCACATTGGATAGCTTTCACTGTGTTTATCGTGAGGCAAAACACCCAATGAATTCGTTGAGAATGCCTGGTGGGAGTTCAACGGGGGAAGCTGTACTATTGGCGTTAAATGGTTCTCCAGTTGGTATCGGTGGTGATATTGCTGGTAGCATTCGTATACCGTGCGCATTTTGCGGTTTAGCTGGTTTGAAACCAACGTTTGGAAGGCTGAGCATATCGGGCATACCATCAGCCACGAAGCAATCCGTGCTTCACATAGGCGCTTGCCCAGGACCCATGGGTAGGAAGGTGGAAGACTTGGCTCGTGTAATGCGCGCATTGTTGTGCCCTACGATGTTTGATCTGGACCCTTATGTTATACCGTTGCGTTTCAATGAGGACTTATATGAAGGGAAGGGGAAGCGCCAGTTAGTAATTGGTTATTATTGCAACCTTGATGATCCAAATCTCATTCAGGTGGTGGATGTGAATAGACTAGCTGTGGAGAAGGCAGTTAAAGCGTTAGAGAGTTATGGACACAAAGTTGTAAGGTTCACCGTCCCTCATCCTTATAAGGCTTACGTTCTTGGTCTGCGTGCTTTGTTTGCAGATGGAGGTTGTGAACTACGAAAGCAGTTACACGGCGAACCTCTGAGTCCACAGCTTAAACTTCTAAATCTTATCCTCGGATTTCCAGACTTTCTAAAACCTATCATGGGGTTCCTATCCCGATTGTTTGTTGGAAGACCAGTTGGTATAACAAGTGCACTTCGAAAACTGAAAGATGGTCAGGCAGCACTTGACTTAATTAATGAAATCAATAGCTATCGACGTGAATTCGCCAAAGCTTGGAGTGAAGCAGGCCCACTGGATGCACTGATTTGCCCAGTGTCTTCATACCCTGCCCCTCCCGACGATGCTTCACCTTTGTACATTTCACCATCAATTGTGTATACATTTTTGTATAATATTTTGGATTATCCTGCTGGAGCAGTTCCGGCGGGTTTTGTCAGTAGACAGGATGTTCGAGATGCACTAGTGAAATCTGAATCCCTTCTCACTGCTGGTGATACCTACATGTCTAAAGTGCACAAACTTTTAGATGGAGGAGAGAATATGCCACTTTCCATCCAAGTAGTTGGCAAACCATTTCATGAAGAGACTGTTCTTCGAGTAATGCGTGAGATAGAGGCGATTTTTTCTCCCTAGGAACTAACACAAATTAAACAATATTTTCCTTTTCGTTTGTGTATGTGAAGTTTGTTTTGATACTGCAGATTATGTTTTTACAGAGTTAAGTTTGTATGCTACATTGGATTAAATGTGATAAAATGGTGGTATAATATCATGACGAGGAATAAATTCTGTGATGAAATTTTGAGCCAGAAGGGAAGGCAGAACGAGGAATGGTTCACTGACTATACCTGGAACCTGATAGAGGAGAGGTGACTGGTGCACCACAGAAGGATCCAATGCAAACTTCACGGGCGATTTTTCTCATGTCGCACAAACTCGAGGATATACAGGCGAAAACCAACAAGCTGTCAGAAGTAGCAGCGAAGGACTTCAAACGATCATAGAAAAGACACAGACGTTCAAGATAATCAACCAACATCAACAAAAAGCCACATTTACCATCAGTGAGAGAAATCTAAGACAAGTCATCTCTGACACTTATCTGGGAAGCATTGCATCAACTATAGGCAGCACAGATAGAATCGGAAAAGTAAGACACGAGTTGATTACTCCGAAATTTGCATGAAGATCCAGACCAGTCAACACAAGGACAAGGACTCGGAGTTTCGACACTAACGTCAATTCGGTGCTTCTATATGGTTCAGGGGCTTGGCTGGAGCGTCCCTAAAAGCACTTCCAGTATAGTTCCGTCCACAGATGCATTTACTGGATACTCAAGACCTGATGGTTGTTAGGTAAAATTAGGAGACAAAGAACTCATTTAATTCGCCAAGAGGCTGTTACCCAACACACAATTAGATTAGAAATTTAGTGAAAAAAGAAATAGTTACTCTTCATTTAGATTTCCATTTCTGGCTGAACTCTAATATATGTAGCACTTTTATTCAATACAGAAATTTTTACCAATCAAATGGCGTTTTTTAACAGTAATCCATGTGAAGAAGCAAAAGCTGTGCGTTCAGAAGAAATTCGTGCAGCCACTCTCCAACCTCGGTCTGACAATTTCGCCTCCTCCTAAGCTTTTTACAAGTTATCGTAGACCAAATAATTTCATTTTTCTGACACTTTGATCTATAAATTCTTATCACATAACTAACCTGAGCACTTTTCTCTAACTTAATTAACCTGTATTTATTTCTAGATTTATACATTATGCAGTCCACCCGTTTAAACCAGTTCAACCCTATAACTTTTTACGCTGATTATCACCCTTCTAACATACTGATATTGACTAATGACTGATAACAAACTTAAGGCTACAAGATTGATGGAATCATATTGTGTAATAAATGAAGTTTGTTTGACTTTCGGTGTGACCATCTCATGAAACCAACATCGCCTCGCATATTTTCCTGTGCTTGTACACCACCTCCAATCACCAAATCATTAAGAGCGCAGAAGTCTTCAAATAGTTCTCCGTTCTTATTTATTCAATCAACTATCTTCCTGTGTTATGTACTCCCAGTCCGAGATTCGTACCATCTGGCTGGGATGTTGTCTGTTACTGTTCGCAGTTGTTTACAGAAGTCCTCCTTTCAGTCTGTGTTATTTTCAGGAGCGCAGTATTTGATAAATTTAACTTCCCTTTCTTTGGAGTTGAACCTTTCTATCGTGATCCTGCAGGGGGAGAATAGTTCCCACTGCATGACAGCCTACGGTTCTGTTGGTGACACCATGGTGGCCACTCCACAAGCGTGGCTCGTGGCTGTCCTCTGGGCGACCGGAGTAGATTGTTGACTCTGCAGTTAAGAATTTGTGGAGATCACTTCTATTCTACTAGCTTTCACAGACTCCTAACACTACTATACCATATCTTCTCATTTCTTCTGCAATCTGAGCAGCCAACTCCAAACATGGTGTGGGCGTTTCATGTTCCTACGCTTACTTTGCTTTCATTATAAGAAGGCACACCGGTTGGCCGACTTGCTGAAGGCTTATGCCAGCCAAAGTCGTTCGTTCTGTCTGATTCTGGAGAAGAATAAATTTATCTTTTTTCTGTCCTATGAAGTTTCTGTAGCGATTAGATAGATTTTCCGGGAAGGTGTCTATAGTCCCACACCCACCCTTCCCTCTTTTTCCAGACCTTGAACCGGGTAGTGTAATAGGGAACTAGTAGACTAGGTGAGGTTGTGATGATTGAAAGTTTAAGTGTACGAGGAGATTTCTCGAATACTGAATTCACCGAAAAATCTAAAACATGTTAAACGTGGAGATTTACTGACATGAAGTAACATGCAGGCAGTTGAGAATACGGAAACATATTAACCAAGGCTATATCTATAAGTCTTTAAAGCTCTACAGGCAACGGAGTCGGAATAAACACTAAAGACATTTTTCGCAATGGATTCGAATCGGTTTTTTAAAACATAACAAATTGATCGATAAAAAGTCGCGTTATTGATCAGACATCAATCTTTTCAGATGGTGACGTTTTGAATTCATAAATATGGAAAGCAAACGTGACATAGTTGAAGATTATGAACTATTTGACTGGTTTGTGAAAACTAAAAAAACGCGTTGCTTCTTACATTGTCAATGTTGAAGAATGTTAAAGGCCTTAGAAGAAACTCTCATTAGTACGTAAACAATCATTATAAACTCATTCCTAACAAATGAAACATCGACTATGTCTGTTGTTTGAAATGGACAATCGACGAAATGACTGGTTTTAAATCCATTCAATCACGAAATAAAAGAGAAGTGTTGAAATCGAACTACCACTTTTCACGCAATCGCTCCTGACCCCTACTCACTTGTTAGTTTTGAAAAATAAGCTTGGAGTTCTTAACGTTACGAAATTCTACCGAGACAGCCTTCATCATATAAGGCAAACTCAGAAGATAACCAGAAGTTAGAACAGGGAAGTTTGCATAGCTGTCGAATTCGAGGCAGGTAGGAAGCATATCAATTATTCCCAAATAAGCAAGAAAAAGCGCAACCATAAGATTGCTGCGAAATACTTCAGCAGAAATACAGCAGAACAGCTAATATATTGATGTAAGTGTATAACTTGGGCACTGCGGTAGAATGTAACTCCACATTCGATAAGTTTCATTGATAGGTCAAACTAGTAGGTCAGGGGTAGTCAGATTGTCAGAACATAAGAATTTAGCTAAGGTAAGAATGGTTGACCCAGAGAAGATAAGTAATTTAGAAAAAATCTCAGCAATTGCAATGCATGCATTAACACACAACCACACAATAGGGTGGGAGAGGGTTAAAATTCTTAAAAGTAATCTAGGTAGGTGGAGAGAGAGGTTGATTACTGAATCTTTGTTCATCGAATCTACACCCAACACATGCAATAGGAATGAATCATCACTCATACCCGAAATATGGAAAATAATACTACCAATCAAATCAAGTGAAAAACAATGGAACTATATAAATGAATTTAGGAAGTCGTGTGATTACCTTGATATGATTATGAGCAATAAATTGTGCTCGAAACGTCATCAGTAAATATTACTGTATAACACTGTGAGACTCTATCAAAATAAAATTTACCCATAATGGAATTCGATAAGTTTATTGTAATAATCACACAGTGATGCAACAGTAACAACTGGATGACGTTTCGAGCATAAATTATTGCCACTCATAATCATATTAGTTTGGTCACAAGTTTTCACAATTTGTCTTATATATATTTTCTCTCTTTCTGTCTCTCCAACTTCCCTTTGTTGTTTGTTGCCACTTTCCATATCTCCCGTGTAGGCGTTGCGTCATTCCGATTGCACGTGTGCAGTGTTGAATCGATAAACAAAGCTTCAGTGATTAACCCCTCTCTCAATCCACCTAACTATGTTACTTTTTAATACTCTCTCCCTGTCCCAACCTATTTCGTGATAACATGTAAGTGAATGCAGTGCGATGGCTGAGTATTCTTTTAGGTTATTTAACTTAGCAGGGTCAATTATTCTACGTCTAGCTAAATTTTCATTTTCCAATAATCTAGTTGACCCTGATCTACAACAACAAAGGGAAGTTGGAGAGACAGAAAGAGAGGAAAAATATATAAGACAAATTGTGAAAACGTGTGACCAAACTAATATGATTATGAGTGGCAATAATTTATGCTCGAAACGTCATCCAGTTATCAATACTGCATCACTGTGTGATTAATTAAATAAACTAATCTAATAAGGATAGCTAGTACACACACATACACATTGGATAAATGCTTTGTCCTACTTCGGTGCTTTGCATCGTTAGTCAATCACAACGCCATTCACTATGGAGGGTAAGACGGTCACATTTTAGTGTCTGCAAGGCGACCCAGCTAGTAGGTCATATCGAGGTCCAGTATGACGGTGGAAAGACCTAAGACGATCTCTGCTAACTATGTTCTGATAAGTTATGTTCGTTTATTCAAACGTACTACTCCGGGGAACTTTATTCTGCAGCCAGATCTACAGGATTTCTTTACAACTACTAGGCATTATTGTCTCAAAATGTCTGTCCACACTACTCACTTTTCAGCCTGCAAGGTATTTCTAATCATTTGCAGTTTACTGAAAAGATTTTGTACTTGCTATTGATATGTATGACAATTCAACATGAATCAATAACACAAAGAATGCTAATTGATTATTATTACTATTATTATTAACATGATGTTTTTAAAAGTACAAAATTAGGTTAAAAGTTTACCCAATAAACTGCTCTCAGCAGCACAAGAAAAAATTGAAATTGTAACGGGGATCACCCAAATTAAAAATAGTTGAATATTCTGATTAAAAAATATGTACATAAATCCAAGTCATGATATTATACCACCATTTTATCACAATTAGTTCAATGTAGCATACAAGCTTAACTCTGTAAAAACATAATCTGCAGTATCAAAACAAACTTCACATACACAAACGAAAAGGAAAATATTGTTTAATTTGTGTTAGTTCCTAGGGAGAAAAAATCGCCTCTATCTCACGCATTACTCGAAGAACAGTCTCTTCATGAAATGGTTTGCCAACTACTTGGATGGAAAGTGGCATATTCTCTCCTCCATC